TGATCAAGAAACTTCACCAGAAAGCTAAGGAGAACTTGGAGAAGAAGACATTACAAACGAAGCTGAACGTTGACAAGAACCGCAAGGAGGTCAAATTTGAGCCCGGCGAATGGGTTTGGCTGCATATGAGGGCCGGCGAGGTTCCCAAACCAAAGGAAGAGCAAGCTGTCACCAAGAGGAGATGAACCTTTCAAAGTCCTTGAACGCATCAACAACAACGCCTACCGTTTAGAAATTCCAGGTGAGATGAACATTTCTAATAGTTTTAATGTCACTGGTTTGGCTCCGTTTGATGCAGATACGGTTCTGAGGTCAGAACCTCTTCAAGGGAGAGGAAATGATGAGGACCTCAACCCGGTCAAGCCTAAAGTACCCATCATATACGAGCCACCAAAGACCCGGTCAGATACGAGGAAAATGAGAGAAGAATTCAACAAGGCCGTGGAGAACACCCTCAACCTTAAGCAAACACAAGATATCAACACTCTCCTCAAACGGCTTGTCCTCAAAGAAGAATGCACTACTGGACAGGATGAAAACATGACGGGACGGGATGAAGACATGACGGGACGGGACGACAGCATTATATACCACCCCCGTACCACGGTCGACCACATTACGTACCAGCCATGTACCACGGACGAGAGCATTACGGTACGCGTGACTGGAGGACAAGATGATCAAACGGGCCAACACTTAGGCGAATTCCAAGACGATAAAAGCCCAGCCAAGTTCAAGATGGAGCTCAGCTTAGATGAATGGCCCCTTCTCAAAGACAGCCTTGGCCCAAATCTGCTGATCATCGCCCCATTTCAAAACGGCTAAGTTTCAAGGAGAGCGGCTGGACAAAACTTACCTTATTCGACCCTAAACTAATCAAGAGGCAACGGTAAGAATTTGTCATTTAATTTCATCATATCTCGTGTTTTCTTTTTTGTTTTGCAGGACTTTATTTCTAGTTTCTTTTTACACTTTTAGAATAAATTCTTGTAATCTTTTTGGTTATGCACTTTTGTATTTTTGGTCTTGCATTTATTTTCTTTTTGACCTAGAAAGTCATTGTCGAAGGGCTATTTATAAAGTCCTACATGCGACATTGTAGTCCATATTTTAACCTATTATCAATAAAGAGAGCACTTTCTTCTAACAAGAGAGCTGCCGCCGAGTTCTTGAGCATTGTGTGAATTCCCCTTTATTATAGATTTCAGCTTGACTTATCACGGTCTTAACATCAACCATGTGAGTGTTAACTCGATCTATTGTCTGTTACCATTCACTTGGTTAAGCAAAGAGTGCTGTTTGGCCAGTTGCTTGATCATCATCCCATTGTACTATCCCTTACATACCGTATCTAAGTAGAGAATATTGTATGACCAGCTACTTGTTTCTCCATAGTACCGGTTATGTAAGATCGTATCCTTGAAATTATATCAAACACTCATGATTTCGGACTTGCCGAGATGATTTTAGTTGCTACAGAGGACAAAGATTCTTAAATATATTTTAATATTAAATATATTATTAATTTAAATTAAGAGTTTCATTAATTTTTTCTTAATTTTGAAACCTACATTTAAAAATTTGAGAGACTGTATGGAGTTCTTAAAATTATATATATATATATATATATATATGGTAAGTGAAACAAAATCACCAACAATACCCCCATGAGAAGCAAACGCAAAGAGAGTGTGACCAAGATTCAAGTTTTTACAGACTTCAACTGAGAAACCCCACAAGAGACACGGCAATATCATTGTTAAGTTTGATATGAAGTGAAATCCTAGCGAAAACCATTGGCCTGCGGGTGGAAATGAGTTTTGACGAGAATAAAGAGGATTCCATAGTAAGGAGAGGAAATAGACAGCGTCACCATGCATCCAAGAATAACAGCCAAGTTTCCGGTTAGATAGCTGCTTCCAAAAGTTGCTAATACAGTCCATCCAATTTAAAATGGCAGAAGAACAAAGATGAGAGACACATATCCGCTGATGGCAAGAAACTGTAGAGAACAAACACAGGTTGTTAATCAACATTCTCCATTAGTTTGAAGGAAGAGAATTGATGAACAAATGGAAATTTGGGATTTGGGACTTACAGCAAAGGCATCATCATCCAGAAAGAAAAGCAGCCTCTAGATAAACCCAAATTCATGAATTGGCGGGTTTGGAGGAACAAGTATGAGTGTATGAAAATACCAATCACAAAGGATCTTCATATGCTTCCAACTCCACCAATAACTCCTTGGTGTAGGTCATTCCCAATGATATCCTCAGCGCGGAACCCACCAGGAACATTGAGATCTCCTACTTCCACCCTTATAACAATGATGGTGGATATGAAACAAAGTTTTTTGAAAACGCTACCTTGCATTTTTTGTATCCGTGATGATTCAGCCAAATACTAAGATAATCTTGGTGGACATACTTGATGGACCCTCGACACAAGCACGGATACCTTAACGGGTTTCCTGGTTCCTTCAGTGAACGAGAAATCCGACCCAGGTCTTCATCTTCTTCTTTATCGGTGTCTTCTGCCGGAAATATTCAAATAATATTTTAGAACCGATTCCATTGGTTCTTCTCATAGACCAATTCTCGAATATTCACATACCATATCATTTTTTTTTCTTTTCTTTTTAACTTAAAGAACCCTTCAAAAGTAATGCAATGTGGATGCTCTAATACTAAACTGAGAGACAAGGCTCCGAGAGATATTACTTGTGCAAAACCTGTACTAGAAATGTTGATGATCTGAATTTCAAAGATAGTTTAAAAGTCTAAAAAAAACACAGCTATAATTATAACTCAAAGCTTTACATTCCTTAATATTTTTATTCTTTTTCTCAAAAAGAAAATCTAACATCATTTTGAAAAAGAAATAATTTAAGGGACTGTTATTGGTTTATGTATTTAATTAATTTAAGAATCTATATAATATTTGTAAAATTTATTGAGTTTGTTGATTTTACAAAATCATAAGTTTAACCTTTGATTGGAGTATTTGTATTTTTAACATGGAAATCCTTTCAAATCCACAAAAATTCGCTTTGAAATCAAATCCATGACTTTAAAATCATGAACTAATAACATATAATTTGTATATAGATTTTCAAATCATAGAATCAATAATACTGAAATTGAATATAAATTTTAAAATCATAGAACTAATAACATCGATTTGATTGATTTTTATAAAGTCATTAAAATCATAGAACCATTAACGTGAAAAGGGCCAATTTCAACCTGAACTAAATCTGTCGTGCTCTTTCCTACCTGAACTGATCGGCGTGCGTTTTTACCTCAACTTCAAATAAAATTAAATAAGCTAGGTTTGTATTTACTTCGGTGATGATTTTTTTTTTTAGGTTTGTATTTTGAGTATTAGATTGTGGAGAATTGTAAGAATAATTGTATTGGATTTTAATGGTAGTTGTAAGATTCTCATGTTCAAGACTGTGTATTTGTAAAATTTCTCATGTTCAAGACTAAGTGTTTAATGAATTTTTATGTTTGTTTTGTCATGTTTGTATATGTAAAGAAAAGAGACAAATGATAAGAAGTTGATTTGATTGCCAATATTCTAGTTTTAAACTTCAGCATCAATATTCAACAAACCATAACACACACAAAAAAAAAATATCCTAAAGTGAAGCTTCAACATGCTCAAAACCATCAAACCGCTCCATGTCCTAAACTGAAGAACCGTCCTTACAAAAACCATCAAGCTGCTCCATATCCTGAACCAAAAATTCATCTTTGTAAAAACCATCAAGCCGCTCCATATCTAACTCTATCATATCTCCTTCTCTGAAAACATGATATAACAGAAACAATTTATAATCATTCAAAACTAAGAACCACAAATTTTTCAACATTACTAATCATAAACCATCGTTCCATTCTCATATGTCATTGAACAAAACACACACTCAACTCAACAAAACACACACAAACAAATATTCTTTAAGGAATCAAATCAATAAAATTCAGAGTTGCACATACCAGTTTTTCCCCAAAAGCACATACCATTTACTGGAATTCAAATCGAAAACTCTCAAAAACCCTAAATCGTGACTAACCTGACAAAGTAACAACTTTCTCACCGTTGTGGAAGAAAATAAAATCCTGGAAGAAGCAAAAAAATAAATAAACAGAGCCCAATTAAATATCAACAAAACCATCATTTTCCTTCAAGTCTAGCCAAATCATCTACAATTTTGTAAACATAAATGTGAATAATTTGAGACCCTCTTAAACAAATAACCTATAATGGACATAAGTGATGATGTATAAGATAACCTTTGATTCCATTTGATCTGCAGTATCAAAAGAATATTTACTTGGTACAACGACGATGACCCCCTTGGACGTACAGTGGCGGATGCAGCTTGAAGGAGTATGGGGCATGTGCCCAACACAGATTTTAATTTTTTTTAAACCAATTTTTATGAAATATTGTAGCTCATATAGTTAATTCTCTTGTTTAATTGATTGTGCCACATACCAAAATGCAGCCTAGATCCGCCATTGGACGTACCCACAGCAATAAAATTCAAATTAACAGCCAAAACCTAAGGAGAGCCATGGTCTCGCTTAAATGCCTGCCATGAAATGGTTCGGGTGATGTTATTGTCAGCATCAACATCAAAGTAACATAAATTTATCGAACGGATCTTAATACCCTCGAGTCTCATTGGCTGAGCAGCAGCCCCTTCCTCTCAATGCAAACCAGTATATGCTTGTTTCTTCTCAAACTCTTCAGCCAAGACAAGCTGCTTCATGATATTTGTATTATCAATACTCAAATAATTATTCAATAAATATAATAATTTGAGTTAAAAATTGTAATAAAAATTGCAGGAAAGAATGTACAATAACACATCAGATGAAACAATTATTTCATTTATATCAAAAAAAATTATTGGAAAAAAAAATCAAATTTGATTTAGAAGTTACATCATTTAATTTCAAATCGACTTCAGCTGGATTAACAGTAAATGTCTCTGGTGATAAGAAGTTTGATTGATTGCCAATATTCTGGTTTTAAACTTCAGCATCAATATTCAACAAACCATAACACACAAAAAAAAAATATATATATATATCCTAAAGTGAAGCTTCAACATGCCCAAAACCATCAAACCGCTCCATGTCCTAAACTGAAGAACCATCCTTACAAAAACCATCAAGCTGCTCCATATCTTGAACCGAAAATCCATCTTTGTAAAAACCATCAAGCCGCTCCATATCTAACTCTATCATATCTCCTTCCCTGAAAACATGATACAACAGAAACAATTTATAATCATTCATAACTAAGAACTACAAATTTCTCAATGTTACTAATCATAAACCATCGTTCCATTCTCATATGTCATTGAACAAAACACACACTCAACTCAACAAAACACGCACTCAACTCAACAAAACACACACAAACAAATATTCTTAAGGAATCAAATCAATAAAATCTAGAGTTGCACATACCATTTTTCCCCAAAAGCACATACCATTTACTGGAATTCAAACTGAATCCTCTAAAAAACCCTAAATCATGACTAACCTGACAAAGTAACAACTTTCTCACCGTTGTGGAAGAAAATAAAATCCTAGAAGAAGCAAAAAAATAAATAAACAGAACCCAATTAAATATCAACAAAACCATCATTTTTCTTCATATCTAGCCAAATCATCTACAATTTTGTAAACATAAATGTGAATAATTTGAGACCCTCTTAAACAAATAACCTATAATGGACATAAGTGATGATGTATAAGAAAACCATTGATTTCATTTTATCTGCAGTATCAGAAGAATATTTACTTGGTACAACGACGATGACCCCCTTGGACGTACCCACAGCAATAAAATTCAAATTAACAGCCAAAATCTGAGGAGAGCCATGGTCTCGCTTAAATGCCTGCCATGAAATGGTTCGGGTGATGATATTGTCAGCATCAACATCAAAGTAACCTATATTTGTCGAACCGATCTTAATACCCTCGAGTCTCATTGGCTGAGCAGCAGTCCCTTCCTCTCAATGCAAACCAGTATATGCTTGTTTCTTCTCAAACTCTTCAGCCAAGACAAGCTGCTTCCTAAAAGATCGTGATTTTAGTTTCTCTCTGTTATTTATCCTTTCTTTTTCCAACTCACTAATCCTCTCTTCTACGAGCTCTGAAATGCCAGATATTGAGCTTCCATCATCAGGAATAAAATCACCACCTGACTCTTCTTTAGAATCTGGTATAATTATATCTGAATCATCCTTCTTAACATCTCCAACACTTGAGTCTTCATCAGTGTTTACCTTAGCATCATCTGATTAAGAATGAAGAAAGCACTTCCCATCAGAATCATTCAAATTTTGAGACTCCACAGCAGTATTTCCAGATTCCGTTGTGGTCGTCGCCTCTTGTTCAGCAGAGATGGCAGTGACTAAGTCAGGCTTTGAGTTTGCCTCATAATCTAAGGTCTCAGTAATATCACTAGCTTGGACTTCCCTTACTCTAGCTTCGTTTTCTTGACTAGCAAGTGCAACTTCATTATCCTCATCCTCCAGACGAGATTCTCCAGCGAGAGAACGAAAATCATCAACAGAAACGGATCCAGTAGCAACTCCAGCAGAATCGCCAATTGAATATGAAGACAAAACTTTCTGATCTTCTTCGTCTTGATTTGAAACTGATTCTCCAGCGCCTAAAACCTCCTGCAGCAACTCGCTACTAACGCTGCTAGCTCTCCTTGACTTGATGATAGCAGCGTGCGGTGTAGGAACCAATCTGGAAGCAGCCACAGCCGCCGCAAGCACCGCGCCTGGCTTCACATTCGACCGCATTCCTGCGAATAGCGACGGCAATGGCTACGGTCTCAAAGAAGAAGAAGACGCCGAATTTCGCCTTGTCGGATAGATTGCGCGAGGAGTTCCGCGAAGTATATCAGATTCAGCGGATATTCGGGTCTCATCGGAACTTTCGAAAGAGCTTCCGATAACCAGCGAGTCGGATCGTATTGATTTCGCCGCTTTACTTGGTCTCTAATAAACGGTGGAGATGATGGAGGGGAAGACGACGCAGATGAAGAACTGGACGCGTTGAGAATTTTGTCGACTGTACGGTGAGGAACGGAGGAAGAATCCAAATCGGTTTCGGAATCCGAGTCGGATACTACTAGTTTTAATCCATTTTAAGATCAAATTGGCAAGTAGACTGCAAATTCGATAAAGAAAGTTGCAAGCAAACAGAACAGGGGGATAAGTCGAGTATTATAACATAAGATACTGAGAACGTCGTGAGCTAACAATTATGATGAGGTCAGCAGCTGTAGCTCTTCCAGCAGCAGCGGGTGCAGCGGCGGCAACTGGTGCACCGCCTCCACCGCCACCGGCACCCACATTCATGATGAGGTCAGTAACTTTACGCTTCTCAACCATCTTGGCGAATAGCATTGCCCAGTATGACTCAATCTCGACACCAGCAGCTTTGACTATGGTCGCAATCTTATCAGACTATTGACAATAGGGTTAAGGATGTAAACAGAAGCAAAGCCTACAGAATCCAGAACAAGGGCAATCGATAATTAACAAGGACCTTCAAAACCATAAGACTAACAAGTTATATAGAACTGATTGAAAACCTAACACAAACAATGGTCCTACAAACATGTTAACTAATAATGTACCTTCATTGGATTCAAGACGCTGACACGCAAGAACCCTAAAAGCAAACTAATCGTTTAGAGAGACAATCGACATAGTATACAAGATAGCCAAAACAAACATGGTTTTGCTAGATTCAGGTTAGCTGATAGAAGCAAGAACTAACAAACAGGACACTGACAAACAAGAACCCTCGTCGTAAACCAAAAATTTACAACTACAGAAACTATCGACATAGCATTCAAGATATAAGCCTAAACGAACATGCTTTCATATATTCAGGACTAGAGAATAAAAGACACCTCAAACCCTAATACAAATAACTTGCCAAGACCTCATTTTATACACAACAATGAAATGACTATTCATTTCAACGAAACAAAATCTCGATGATGAGAATGATAAACAGGGCTACAAGAAAAACGCATAGCTACTACATGAGATCTAAAAGATGTCTAATTTTTTTAAGGATGCTGTGATGGCAATGCCTTCATCTTCAAGAAAATGGGGAAAATTCTGCATTTTACAGCCAAAAACCAGAGTAATTATCAGTTTATCACAGGATTCACGAATTTGCGAAAAATTCTTCTTTCAAGCAAAAATAGCTATATAATATACTTTAATTGGTTAAATGTTAATATAATTACTAAATATAAATGATAGTAGATTTGTAAATTAAGGAATACCACATATAGAATACTGAAAATCCTATAACGTAGGATAATAAAATATTTCTGATGGCTACAACTAAAAGTGTTTAAATACTAAAACCAAAATCCTAAATGCTAATATAATATAACAAAGAAATGAAACATACAGTAAATAGCCTAAAATAATAGAGAAGTAATCAAGTTTAAGAGCAACTCCATGGACTGGACTCCTCAAGAGACACCAATCGCTTCCATAAATTGTTGCCATACCAAATTGATAAACCCCTCCCCCCCCCACCAAAATTTATTATCCTAGCAAAGTGCAGAACGTTTGTCCCCTACATGTGAAGTTTCTTTAATGAAGCTACTTAACAAGATCATAAATCCCATTTGTTCTCTCTCCCTAATGGCTATTTGCAAAGGATACAAAAAGACTAAGTATCGTTTGTTTTCTAAAAAAGAATTATCAACCAAGCAATAAATAAAATAAAAAGACAAAAGAAGCAAAAAAGTTCCTCTAGCTTTGAAATTTTACAAGTGTATGCGTTCACTCGGGTCAAGTTTGCACCAACTTATATCAGATTCCGTCACAGGGACTCCTAGAATAAAATAGGGCTGTGAGTAGAAAATAAGAAACAAAGAAGAAAAATGAGAGGATATCACAAGTGACCCATACCTCTAACTGTTGTTTCAACCTTTAGTTCACGGTTCTGCTCAGTAGAAATATCACTAAGCACTGGAAGAACTTTAACTAGTAGGTACTGCAACTGGTTGAGCTTGACAATGGGGTCTTTGTCACTTTGTATCTAAGATTCAGAAGGAAAACGCAGTTCGATGACATTTCATCTCAGTAGATTTTCACATGAACTGAGTGATCTCAAGCCACATTACCTTCACATCCAAAGGTTGACGCACACAAGCTCTGCAGTTGCAATTTCCTACACAGAGCGGACATGCAGCTCCAACTCCCTCACTCGTTCTCTCTGGATACCTATATTCAGCATGATAAGAAATTTTAAAACTCTCCTCTTGACGGGGTTAAGGAAGGGAAAAAGCAAACAATAAACTCCTTCTAGTGTGCAAATACTTACCATCTCTCAATGCAGTCATAGCAGTAACACTTCTTACTCTTACTCTTACTCGTTAAGTTTTTGCAATGATGGTGATAGAGTATTGATACTCAATCTCCTAAAGAAGTAGTTTCCTATATTGAATCAAATCGAAGTATCAAGAGAATTACGGATGAACTCAAGATCACATACGATCTTGAGCGTTGATCACATACGATCATCAAGAATAGCACATACGCTAATTCTGTTACAACAATAATTCCTTTGATAATCCTCTCCTGCCACTTATGAAATCTATTTATACTCACACATTTTGTAGCTGCCACGTCACTCTCGTTCTTCCCTTAACGATAATATGACTTGTGACACTTATCAATACTCCCCCCAATGAAACCAAGCTTGCCCTCAAGCTTGAAATGCAGAAATTGCTTGACAAAGTCTTTTTAATCTTCCAACAATGCCACACATGAGAATCAGTTTGAATAGGCCAAAGGTGAACGTAGAGAGATAGTGAGGTGGTCGTTGATTGCTACCATGCTCTGTATAGGCATCCGTCACATGAGGTGTTGTAGATAGTGGTGGAGACATTTCCAATGTAAAAATTGCAGGTTTTGTATTTTGCAGAAACTGAAACACCTCAACATCCTCTTTGTTCCGACTTGCAGAGTTGTGGATAGCAACAAACTCAGCTCTAAGTGACAAAGTCTAGAACTTTATAAGCGCCAACTCCTTATAGAATTCGTCCATTGGAATGCTTAATGCATCTCTGCCCGTTAATACATCTATTCGTGAGACATCAACTTCAGACAAGTGAGTATCTACTTCAGAAGCTTTGCTTTGTAATCTGCTTTGTATCATCTTAGACTGTTCCTTGGTCAAAAACTATGGCTTCTCTGTCAAATTCTGATCCCGTTCTAGCCTAAAATCTGCCGCGACAGAGAAGGCGTGATAAGTTGTAACAGTTTATCGTGGCTTAGATTTCCATTTGTGCCACAGTCCAATAATTTTCTCCACTTCCCCTGTTCGGATGATGCACTTCCACCCACATTGCGCATGTGTAATTAGGAAGTTGAAACACCATTTTGACGATAACAGATAATCCACACGTGAACCATGTAGTCTGGTTCTCCAATACACAGTTAAAGCCTGCAGTTTCTTTTTATTAAGCTGCGTCATACATGGTTTAGTCTTCTCAGCTGCTTCAAGTTCATGAAAATCAACCCCAGATTCAGAAGCTATCTTCGAAGTTGTACACTTTGTGTTCTGTAGATACTGAAACACCTTAGCAGTATTTCTGTTCTTCCAACGGTGCCAAATTTGAGACTCAGGTTTTGTAGACTCAGATGTAACATGATGCCATGCTTCCAGCATCCGACCGATCTCTTTAAATGGTCTAACACCCCACAAAAACTGAGACATGATGTGCTGCATCATGCTGGTCTCTATTTTGAACTTAAACCGCCAATTATTGTTGAAGTTCTTCTTTCGGAATCTGTTCTCTTGCGCAGGCAGCACACCAAAAACAGGACAAACAAAATCCACCAGATTTCCCAGCCCATGCTGGGATTCAGTAACCTTCTCATCAACCTTATGTTTCATTTGAAGTTGAGCTTCATGAAGCTGTCCCAACTCTGATTTAGTCACCAACACAGAATTTGAACTGTTGGGCTGCAATTCCCATGACGTCATTGACGTGTCTGCTCCTTTCATCAATCTCCAGCTCTGAAGCTTATGTTTGCTTTGGTTGTAGTTACCTTGAGTGAATGTAATCGTCCCGTCCGTCAAACATACACTATGTCGTTTCAGCAGAACAAAGATACCATCTACGAACAGCTTTGTTTCGAACATGCTTTTGAACTTGTAACTCAGCAACCGCCCAGCACTTCTGTTCCCATAAACCAAGTTACTTAACTCACCGCTTGCTTGAATCCATCTTCTTGTGTGAGCCTTATTTTTAAACTTGAATCTCCAAGCTTTGGGAGACTTTCTCCTTTTCATCTTATTTGGCATTTTGAGAGCCCTTTGGTCAAGGAATCAGCGTGTAATGTGTTTATCAGTGACACATGTGTATTGCAGAAGTAAATCATCTCTCTCTTTCCTATCTCCTTCATGATCACAACCAACATTAATGTGGGAACCCACAAAATAGGCCAGTGATTCCCTGTGAACTTTATGGCGTAGTTCCAGGTCAGAAATTTGTACTTGAGGATACGGAACACAAGAAGTCTCCATTGATGCAATTGCCTCCGATGCAAGGTCAGACCCCGAAGCAGTCGGCAGAAACGAATTTGTCTCCAACTTCGCCTTCGTATCAAAAATTTCTTCCTCCTTTTTACTTGTCTTTTCCTCTTGAAACGCTTCTGAAGCATGTTCTGGTGGAGAGCAATTATTTTCTGTCTCAGAAACCACTTCTCTCCAAGATTCTGAAAACCTCAAAACCAGCTTATTCTTGAAATCAGCCCAATCGTGAATACCGTTTCTCTTCCATTCCCACGCCAACCATTTCTTAAATCTTCCTTCCCAACTCAGAACAATAAACTCTAATTTCTCTTTATCTTCATATCCACTGGTTGTGAAGAATCGTTCCGCATTCTCAATCCAACAAACCGGATTTGTTCCATCGAATATAGGCAACCCAGTTTCGTGTAGCATACTATCGCTCTTTGCAACATCGCTATTTCTAACACTCACATCACCAGATCGATAACCTAGTGGCTTGTCATTCCGTTATTGTTCCTAATTCGAGTTCCATACCTGAGATTGTGTTCGCGAAGAATCTGGTTTCTGAGAATCATTACGCTCCAAAAGGTGTAGGATCGAATCTATTTTACCATCTAGACTCGACACTTTGTCATCCAAATTTGCCAATTTACTGTCGATTCATGTCTCCGTCTCCTTCCTCGGGACATTCAATCTTTCATATTCGCCTTTTAAGAACCTCATACTCTTTTTCGCTTTCCTCAACGTCTGCGTATTGTGAATCACTTGCTGAGGCTGGGTATGGCGTCAACATCGTCGCAGCTTCTCCATCCTCCGAAAGAAACATTTTTTTGTGGTATCGCCATAATCGTAGCTTCGCTATGCTTTGAATTGAGCAATTGCTTCCCTCTGGCGTTAGATCGGCCCAGTTTCACCGCACCAATGATAGAGTATTGATCTCTCTTTTCATTGGACTTTAATCTCAAATATCCCTCCGTACACCATAAAAAATCTAACTGCCCTTCTCTAATCTAACTGCACCTCCCAGTAATGAATTGACGGTTTACTCCTTCATTTAAAAAAAATCAAAAAAAAAAAAATTGGGTGGTTTGGTAGGAAATTTAATTCAAACTAACCATAAATTAATTATTTAAACCAACCAAACCAACCACCAAAATTTAATTGCTCCTCCCGTCGTCTTCTTCCTCTCACGTTTCCACCATTGACAAAATCGGAGACGTGAAATTGAAGGTTAGTTGTTGCTGTTTCTTATATTATTTTCGATTTCATGATTGAATTATCAAGTTTATGTCATAGTCAAAGCAATTAATACATAGTTTCTTCTCAATTAGGGAATTTCATAGTAAAGAAAATTTTGATTTTTTTTTGCTCATTTGAGTCACTGAGCTAGTTGGGTAAG